CATCAGCTCATTAGTAGAGACTTCCAAGCCCTGAAACTGGTGTGTCAGAGAAAGGAGACATGCAAAATGTGCAGTGTTGGGGGTGCCTCCAGGACCAGGGTTGGGAACCACTGGTGTAGCTGATGCAGACCCAATCACTGAGGTTTGTATGTGTTAGTTGCGTTTGCTTTCGTAATACACTAGCACAGCCACTTTCAGATGAGTTTAGTCCAGTGCAGATGTTGTTTCCACTAACAGGACCTTTATAGCCCTTTGCGCTTCATACATCAGAACTAAAACTCTTCTTTAATGTCAAGTACTCGATACAGGGGTAGAATAGAATGGTGCCTTAGATGCAGAATGGGTTTTATTTTCATATATTAATACCTTAACGTGTCACGTGAGCTTACCTCGGCCATGACAATCACTCTACTCGACCAGGGTCATGAATAGGATCTGCTTTTGTTAGAGCAGAAATAGCCCTGACCACAATCTATATTTGTAAATATATCTAAAGTGTACTGGGAAAATATAAATTGTTAAAATAAAGTTTTGAAAGATAAAAGAAATGTTTGGAGTCATTTATTGTTTCATGCACAATGGTTTGAATCCGTTTATTAATTTTTTGGGGGGCTTTTTGTCTTTTTTAACACAACGACATGCATAATTGCAACATTTTAAAGGAATTATCTAGAAACTAATCAAACAAGCCATTTTTGTTTTCATGAAGCAAAATGAGTTTACTGAAATAATGCATTTTGCAATGCATGTTGTATTCCTATTGTAACATCACACAGTTTCACCATAGCTTTGCAACAGCTGAAGCTTAAAATGCATGGTTAGGTTTGTAAATCCAGCGATTGCATTTATGATTGCAGTAACATGTTTTGCATAAGAAAAGCCCTTCATATAGCACTCATCTGTTCCAAGAACTCAAATCTTCCAATGATTTATCAATGCAAACTCCCTCACTGGTTTCTCTTTACTTGAGCACTCAAAGCTTCGCTAACTATTTCATCATTTCTATGTTAATTGCTCATTAATCAGCCGTATCAGGCCCTCACAGCTTTTTGGCACAGTCAGAGCAGTAGATGTCATTTCCGTTGATGACAAAGCGCTTGTGGGCCATGGAGAGGGAGCATTTTTTGCAATTAAAGCAGTATTCATGCCAGGTTTTGTCCTCGTAGTTCACCACGTTGGTCCCTCTGCCAAAGCCTGGGACACAGAAGATAACGGTTAAATATGGATGTTTTTTATTATTATAAATGCAATTATTTGCTATGCTTTTTATTCCTTTAAAGGTGTGTAGTTAGAAGTGTTCTGTAATTGTAGGAAAAAAGAATGATCATTTAATACTGGCACAGATTATACCTGTAATGGGATTTTGACATCCAGAGCACTTCTTGGCCACATCAGCCTTATAGCAGTTCACACAGTAGAACTGATCTTCATGGGCCGTGAAACGAGCTCCAGCCAGAGGTTTCTTGCATGTGTTACACACAAAGCACTCGGAGTGCCAGGGCTGGTCCTGATAGGTGATTCCACCACTGCTAATGGCCTGATTATTAGGACAGATTAGACAAAAGTACAGAGGCTTCAAAACATGCCTGATAGGAAGAGATAGTTCTGGTCTTCTAATTTGTTTCAAGAGTCGTTCATTCAACCGACACAAGATGAGCAACAGTTAACTCTGCAATGACTTCAGTCACCACAAAGCAACATAGAGTTCCATGTACACTAAAAAATATTTTTCAAAGTTGTAAATGAAAAGTTAATAAGTATATTTTACAAGACTACTTTAATTTAATATGTTGCTTGCTGTTTCTTTGTAAACATTTGTGAAATTTACTACTAATATCGGAGTGAAAATTGTTTCAAATTAAATCCTACACAAATTTTTCAGTGCACACTACTTTTCAAAAGTTTGTGGTCCGATGTTTTTTATGCATTACACTGATCAAAAGATTTTTTAATTTTACAAAAGATTTTAAAGAAATGTTCTTTTGAACTGTCTATTCATCAAGGAATCCTGAAGAGAAAAAAAATCAAGGTTTCCATAAAAATATGAAGTTTTCAACATTGTTTCATGAAATGTTTCTTTTTAGCAAATCAGCATATTAGAATGATTTCTGAAGGATCATGTGACACTGAAGACTGGAGTAATTATGATGAAAAGCATTCAGCTTAAAAAACATTTAACAATATTTTTTCCTGTATTTTTGATCAAATAAATGCAGCCTTGATGAGCATGAGACATTTCAAAAACATTCAAATCTTACCGACGCCAAAATTCGAAGTCATTTGTTTGCTAAATACCCGTATAATAGTGCTTCAAAATTAATCTGACTGTACATTATGCCTGACCTTTATACTGCACTTTAATAACTGCAAACATCGAGTTCAGGTTGCGTTTCTGTTCCATCTATATGAAGTCTTTCGTCAATACAGTCCTTCGGTATACTGTTAACTGACCTCTTTGCAGCGGGCACAGTGCTTGGCAAACTTCTTCTCATGGCAGGCAGTGCAGTACATATCGTCACCCTTGGTCAGGAAGCTCTGGCTGCGGATTGGCTGCTTGCACTCAAAGCAGATGAAACACTCTTCATGCCAGACTTTATGCTTGTACTCCACATTCTTAGATCCTACAGAGAAACACAAAAACTTTGCTGTCAATTACAACACAGCATGAGATATTTTGTGTCGAAAAAAGGTGTTTGTGCTGTGACACCTGTACACACACCTGGCGTAATCACTTTGTAGCAGCCCTGGCAGCGAGACGATCCGTCACGGTCTCCACACTTCCCACACATGATCTTGCCGTCATCCTTGGCAGCGAAAGACTCATTGGCCAGCGGCTTGTAGCACTTGGCACAGCGGAAGCAGCCCTCGTGCCAGTGGCGGTTCTTATGGGTCAGCTCCTGGATAAAGAGCACTGTGAGCGCTGCACAATATAAAATACTCTTTAAAAGGACTTATTTCAGTCAACGCCCACCTTTGCATCAGCACCTATAGGCTTGCGACACTCAGCGCAAGTGTTGGCGCAGAGCTTGTCGAAGCAGCGCACGCACACAGGCTTGTCATCTTTCTTGGCGTACTTCTTGCCCTGCAGGTTGTCTCTGCAGTAGAAGCAGTCGAAACGCTCGGTCATGGTGGAGCTCAGATAGCTGCGGGGGCCTGCAAGGACAAAACAAGGGCAAAGTATAAAACTGACTTGCCAAACCATTAGTCTATAACATGTAACATGGATTTTTAAACAATTAAAACAGATTACAATTGTCAAATTAAGACAATAGTATCAATGGTTCTACAAACAAAACCGAAGGATAAGAGGTAAGATATTTTGAACAATATGGAGGTTAAATAATCATTAATTCCCACTCAGCAAAAAATAAAATTCACAAAAAAATATATATTTGCTAAAATATGTGTTCAATTATATTTACATAATATGCTTTTGTACAAATATATTATTGGCCGATTTTTAATATATGGAGGGGATGATTTATGAAGCAAAATCATATATTTATTTTGCCCTCCATATACTTATCCAAGAAAATACATTCACATACATCAGTTTTTTTTTCTACAATGGGTGTGAACATAACATATTTGAATAAAAAATAAGGAACATAATTTACAATGTAAAAAAAAACGTAACATTTAAAAGTTTTAACAAAAAAAAAATTTAACATTTTTAAATCATTATAAATCCAGTTTTGATCCTAAGTACGCTATTTCATCCACATTTGTATTTAGCCTAAATGTAGGCTACTGTAAGATTGGAAATGTATGTTCTTGCCCCTGAAATACATTTTGAAATATACTTTGCTGTATTAAGGATGAAACTAAATATATTTTCAATTTGAGAAATATATGCCTCACTGTTTTATCACATATATTTAGCAAATATTTAAATATATATTTTGGCCAGAAAAAAAAATGCTGTATGGGTCTAATTCAGTCTATTGCTATTATGACCTGCATATATTTCATATAATTATATTCAGATGTGTATTTTGTGATGTATAGTGTTGGACATTGTTACTAGATAAATTAAACTGCTGAGTGTGAGAAGTGTGCTTTAAGAACGTTTATTTTCTGAAGGTGCAATGTAAAATATTGCCAGGATTTTAACATGAACACTTTAAAAAAAAATATATTTTTTTGTGCATATCACTACTTTTTTATTTGGAAACTGAAAAAAAGAAAATAATAAAAGAAAACCTGTTGATTCAATGTGTTAATCTTGCGAGGAATTCCAAAAAAAATAAAATAATAATAATTGGATACTGTTGTGTCGGTGCGAGTTTGTTTTCAGAATTGTGATTTGCTTTGCACTTCTCGGCTACCGTAAGTTTTCCTTGTGTGTATGTGATTTGCAGCACTACGGAACCTGAAGGGGATCCGGTGAAGTACAAATGCTAACGCTAGGTATTTATTTGTGCATTAAACTAGATATAAATTATGTGCTTGTATACATGTATTGTGAGCTTACGTATAATATGCAATTGTGAGATATTATGCAGTTGTGAGATTTTATACTTTATTTACATTTACATTTAGCAGAGGCTTTTATCCAAAGTGACTTACAAATGTGGACGATGCTATGCAACTGTGCGAGCCGATAATAACTCCTTTTATGTGACATAAAACTGACTAGATTAAATGTGTGGTCTTTTAATTGAAAACGGATTTGGAATGGACGGAAGATACCCTGATTTCTCTCCCACTCCATTCCACACCTACTTTATTCAGATTATCAAACCTGTTAACTGACCTGTACTAAATATCGAATATTGGAGCACTTTAACATTCATCATTTTGTTCTACAGTAAGGATCAAGTAGAGACTGCACGAGTCTCTCTCTATTCAGTGCGTATAATGCTTTTGTGAGTAATCGATTATTATAATACATCAAATCACCACAAGGGGCCAGTATAAGGCAATAACAAGAATCCGCGTCGGCTAAAGGGACTGATTTGTCTGGGAGGGACTCTTAAAGGCTTTTAAATGAACCTCGGGAATTTCCTGTTTCGATTACAGATTATGATGTTTTCTAAATACTCTTAAAATAATGAAGAGTCCACATGGACAGCTGCTCTTTTATATAGATCATAAAAAGTGTTGCACTTAGTATAGATCAGCACGTAAGTACGTTCTGACTTGCATTGATATTTGCTTAAACCAGTGTCCCGTGGGTTGCAAGATATTGTTGAGATGATAAATGTTTTGTTTGCACCTCTTCATCTGTTGCAAACAGCCTAGCAACCGCATGCCAAACAACTTGGAAAAGTCTGCTTGAAAAGACAGAGGCCAAATCACCCCACAGATGTGGCCACTAACACTTCATCTCTGATAGTGCCAGAGCTGCATTTTCTGGCCATGGATAAGTGGAGCTGTATTTTTAGAGAACACGCTCATTCTTCCCAGTGGGGTTTGTCTCTGTCAACATCCTATTGTTAGCCCTTGAGTAAATATAGCCGTTGTCATGGTTACATTCATTAAATTCTACTTATTTAATCAAAACGACAACATGATTCTTGAAATGGGTCAGAACCACAATTTGGAAAGACGACTAAACGTCAAATTTTCCCCACTGAGTTGACCGTATTTATCTGATAGACATGGATGGGCACCATAGTCAGTGCTCTTTCTACATTAGGATCCATTATTTAGTATTATTCAAAACAACATTAGGCCATAAGAGGTGTTTCTGAAAACAAATTCATTACAGCATCAAGAGAAAGGCCTGTTTGTATTTCTAACATTTTAATCCAACATTGCTAAAAAATGATGACTTATATTAGAGATTCCACTAAACTAAAACTTTATAATATATCCTAATATAGAACAAAACATTGTCAGAGAGAAGATAATCGGAGTGAAACTTCCAACACAACTGGATTTGTGGAAAAAATGTCTAGACTCAGTAAGTCTGTTTAGTAATGTCCATTTCCTGAATTCTCTCCTCTGACTTTAGATGTAGGCTATACAAGTATTAGTGTTGTGCCTTCTGTGAACTGAAATATCTTTGTGACCTGAGCAGTATGCTCAGTCCTTAAGCCTTTTGGGATGCCGTCCATCAGCTGTTCATTTTTAGCTAGCTTTGTCAGAGTGTTTTCAAATGGACCACTTTGTCCCAAAGCAAAGAGCAAATGCTGCTCGAAAGGTCATCGGGAGATGAACAGTAACCAAAGAGAGCATGTCCACATTAAAGCAAACACTGACTGATGCACCCATATATGAACACTAACAAATGTAGTCCAAATAAATCATAAGAAAAGACTCTGATTGTGGAGAATCTGTGAATTAGCTTGAGCGCTATCTTGACTTAGACTAAAGTGGTCTAGATTAAGACCACATTCAGTTACACAGAAGTACGCAGCTGCTTCCTGAGCTCACCAATACAATTACACCAATAAAGAAATATTGGCCTGTCTGTGATATATTGGGTTATACCAGGCTAGTATTATCTGGTACTGATATTGCACAGGCCTTCAAATAAGATTAATATTGATCTATACTGGACATATAAAACAAACTTTACTGGAATCCCTTCCAAAAATGCTAAACCAATGCCACCATTGTCATAGACAAATCACAAGACAACATATACACTACCATTCAAAAGTTTGGAAGCATTTTAAATGTTTTTGAAAGTATCTTATACTCCCCAAATCTGCATTTATTTTATCAAAATACAATAAAAACAGTAATACTGTGAAATAAAACTACAATTTATAATTGTTTTCTATTTTAATATATTCTAAAATGTTATTTATTCCTGTGATGGCAAAGCTGAATTTTCATCCTCATTCTTCAGTGTCACATGATCCTTTAAAAAAATCACACTTTCACTGCTCAAGAAACATTTCTTATCAATGCTGAAAAAAAACTGAACCCAAACTTTTAAATAGTAGTGTAAGTTCAGCTATAACCATATCCAGCAAAAGAAGTGCCGATGGATGCACATGAGGAGAATCCATGGGCCGATCCACCAAAAGTTTTTCATGACTGTACATCCCACTGCATCTTTACCTGAGTGCCTGTAGAAACTCATATCTGCTTTCGGGGAAACACAGGATATCCTTGAGGAAATGAAAGAGATGCAAGGATGGATGGAGAGAACCAAACAGACAAAGAGTTACAGGGGAACTCCACTCTTCTCTTTGAGTTATGTGTCATATATACGACCCCAGCTGCCCCTTAAAATCTACACCCTGCCCCCAGTCGCCCACCACACCCATGGCCTGGCCTCCCAAACCTAAACCCAGCAATCCCAACCAAAGCATCAGCTGTCCTCTCCATTTTAGGCTATGCTTCAAAAGATAAGTGAAGGGGAGGGAGTCAGAGAAAGGGAACTGAATTCATCTGAATTCCTTGCTTATGACATCAGAGAGCAGAATAAAGGGGTTTTCACAGCCTTTCATTGGATCTGGTGGATCAGAGAGGCCTGAGGCTTTGTGCTTGTTCTGAAATGGATTAGTAAAGGGCCATTGCGCTACTCAGACTTTATGAGTTCACCCAGAACTACTTTGTTTATCAGTGCTTATATTGTGAAATAAACTTTGTATTGCGTTTGGCTTGTGTCTGTTTAAACAACAGTTGAATAGGGATTCAGGGAAAAGTGGACATTAAAAGATTCATTGCTTCTCAAATGCTGCGTCTCAAGGGTTTTAAGAGGACTCTATCTCACACACACACAAGTGTAACTGACCTCGGATGCCTTTGATACTCATATCTGACCACGTTTGTAATAAAACTGAGCTCTGTTCTCATTTCTCAACTCATTTCAGTTTTCAGATTGCAGATTGTCATGTATAAAGAAAAATATGCTTCATTTGGACCCAGCCAAGATTTCTGTAGTAGTTACTTACGAATATGTATGACATTATACAAAAACATAGTAATGATGACAATTCAGACAATTCAGTTTGCAGAGTTGAGTAAAGGCTACAGGAACAAATGATTTCCATGAAAGGACTGAAGCAGTCTGAACTCATCCACAAACATCTCAACTAAAGTCAACACTGCAAGACTTCATGGACACATTATCCACACCAAATTAGTGTATTTTTACCACTTGCACTCATAACAGACTTTATACTTCCACTAGTCCTAAGAAAAGTGACTATCATCATTTGTAGATGCCACTTGGTTTCATATTTTGTTACATCCAGGCATTTTTAAATGTGACATATGTATTCAAATAGTTTTTAGAACCACTTTATATTTTAGAATGTGTATGATGGTGTAGAGAAAATGTGTTTTTGTGTGTCTGGATGAAATGTTGAAGAAATGACTCATCGGTGGTCAGTGTTGTTGAGCCAGTGTGGACAATGGAAACAGATCCATCTGTCCTCTACTAAAGTCCTGCCTCGCGGGAGGCCTGAAATAGCAACCTGGCATCATGCACTAAAACAACCCCCTCTCATCTCTTATCTAAACCCCGCTAGAGAACAGATGACAGCTGAAGACCAACATGTGAAGAGGATGCTGAAGTGGATGAGGAAGATACTAGTCAACATTAGAGTAAGCGTTCTAAGAATGGGTCAGTGTTGATGTAAAGGGAAACATTTGTAGTAGACTCTTGGTCATCTGGACTGAAGCACCAACTATGATGCATTCATTGGAGAAAGTGAGGTAACAAGGAATAAATTGGAAATATGGGGCAGTTTGGAAAACAACAGCCTCTTCTGGCTCATAAAAGTGAATGGACCAGTTCTTCTAAACATGTAAACACTTAAGTTTATTTCTCGCCAGAGATCTTGTGCCTTTCATCTTAACAGTGAAGTAACACTGTCCAAGTAAGGGTTCAGGTATTTATTAAATCTATTCCATTAGGAATTAAAAGTTACCAAAATAGGCAGCGCCGCTTTCAGATTTTCCAGGAATGTTTCTTAAAAGCCTCTCAGTTACAATAATAAATCCAGATAATTTATCACAATACTATTCACAGTCTAGTGACTCATCTGATGACCATCCAGAGCGCACACAGTTAGGGAGCATGACAACATGTGTGCAGTCAGTGATGTGAAGGTCAGCATACCAGTGTTTTCCATCTCATTGACCAAGAACTTATTAAAGATCACTGGAACATTTTTAAATAAACATTTAGCAGGACCTCTTCTTACATGTAAATACATGTAATCTTGAGCCGGTTTAAATTTAGGGTCCAAATTACTTTTGCTGACAGACAAGTCAAAGCCAAAACCCTGTTTCAGGTCACATCCACAAATGATTCACTCTATGGTTCTGGAGAAAATATCCACTTGTGCGATAGTGCCATAACAGGTGATTGTTACTGAGAATGTTGAGATTAGACAGGGAGATTTCCACATTCATGGCTCTGTGGTGAAACACAGTCAAACTCAGGCTGGTAACCACCTTACCGTTTGACCATGTTTATGGAATATGGAAATTCTGATTAACAGCAGAATTTGCTCATATTCTGATTATGTGAGTGTCATGTAAATGTATAAACCGGATCAATATTCTGGTTTCTTAAAATCTAAATAAAGGCTGGAATACACTACACAACTCAAAATCTGAACAGATTTGATGACTTTGTAAGTGGTTAAAAAACTCATCATACACTAAACTGCTGGAATACACTACACAACTCAAAATCTGAACAGATTTGATGACTTTGTAAGTGGTTAAAAAAAACTCATCATACACTAAACGACTGAGAATCACATGCTACCAGACTTTCAAGTCGCTTAGACACAACAAAATTAAGCAGAAACATATGCCTCGGAGACACATGACAAATGAAAACAATGTGTCCTAAAATCGGCTCAAAATATCAAACAGCTTGTAACGTAAAAATCATTGAGATCTTTATAGAAGACTACATAAAAAGCATTTATGTATAAATATCAGTTGTCATTTTATATCTCCCAATAATATATCTTAGTAAGATTATATTTAAATGCTTAAACATATAATCAAAGCTCTGTAGTTTTTATTGTGGGAGAAAAACAAACATTTACGTATGGATAGACCTAGGTTGCTTCAGTAAATTTTCCTCTTGAAATATCACTAACGATATTAAAGTTATTCTAACATTTAATTTATAAAATTCAGTTAAGATTTTACAGCAAGACGACACATGAAGCACGACCTGGAGGTGGACATTTTTATAATTATACTAAAATGACTTTTACTCGCTAAAAAAAAAAAGTATAAACTCTCAGTCAGACGACAAAAGGCATGTAGTAGACAGGTTTTCCAGCAAAGTTTTCATCATGTTGATAATTTAGAGGTCTTTGTATATATTTACGTATCAAATATGATACAGTAGGTTTTATAGGCTTTATAATATATGTTTACAGATTTGTTACGTCTGTCAGCAGTCATAACGGGAGATAAGTGAGAGCTGTGGAGGACAGGAGAGCTGTGGCGCCCCCAGTGGACAGAATGAGGTTGCACAGTCTCCAGAGCTCCACATTTCCTAATTAGGACCTCCAAAGCAGATGTTGTGTTTTAGACATATACACGCCACCTGGTTGATTTCAGCAGATGTGTTGAGACTGAGACTGCTCAGCTGAAGTGTTTCCCTAACTGATTATACAGTGTGTGGGATCCAGAAAATCGTTGTCCTTATATGGCAGGATGATTTCTACTGACACAAACATTCGGAAAAGGCACTTTACTTCTGATGCTTTCAGGTAAAAAAAGCCACATGAACAGAGGTGTAATGTGTATGCAGTGGATAAGATACACAGGATGCGAGTCAGATGGGAAACAAATCTTTAAATTAAATGCTGAAGTCAGTTACAGTTAAAAACATAGCATGGTTAAACCATAACCACATTTTTTATTTAGTCCTAAATTGGTTTAGAAGTCAGTTACTTTAATCAGAATTTAGAACAAGTCTTAAAATATCCCATGAGATTGTAAAAAAAAATAAGAATCCTTTCAGGATAAAATGATCTCTTGCTGGATAACCTGAAATTCTGAACAAAATGTGTAAACAGTTTTTTTTTTGGTCTATTCAGCAGGATCTTATGTCACTTTGTATTAATTCCTAAGGGAATTTGATGCCAATAATAATTCCAATATCATTCCTGACTCTCAAAACACTTCACATGGTACAAACTGCATTAAATGTATCATCGTTTCCCAAATTCAATAATGTCTTTACAGTATAATCCAGTAAAATTCTATAGGTGTGGCTCAGGAAAATAACCTCAGAGATTTGAGAGCATAGATTAATTAAGGAAAATGCTTAATTTCAGCATTTGTTTGGATAGAAGTAAGTTGTCCCTTGTACCCCTAAACTCAATTACATACCAAAAGAATGAATAAAAATCATAGATTTTGTGTAAACCATAAACATCATTAAAACACCACAATTTAAAGTTTGTTAAGTGTACCCGTTACATATTTCAGGAGAAAAAAAAACTTTGGAATATACATGGGAATGTAGTCTTATTCATTTCATACGATCGCTTATATCACTAATAAATACATTTATTTCTATTAAAGAATTCCACAGAAAAAGATATATGCATCCATCTTCCATAATCCCTAAATCTCACTTACCAGTAAGCACTGAGCAGTGTGAGTCGCAGCTGTCTGCAGCAATGATGAGAGAAGTTCTCCTCTTCGTCTGCTGGATCACTGGGCTTAAAAACATCCACAAGGGGGAGTGAAAAAAAAAATCAGGATACCATCCAAATACTTTTGAGTTCATAGCAACAATGACATCAGACTGGAATTCACTCTTTGTGCTTAACCAAGTGTGTATAAAAGTCTACAGAGAAAGTAGATATTTAAGCGAGTTGTGATAAATAATCATTCGGTATGTTTAGCGATTCGTTCAGAATAAATATGAACATGTTTATAGTCTTTCACATGATATAGCTCAGATTTTTTAACAACGACTAATGCGTCATTTCAGATGCTTTAGTCTAGTAGAACACATTCCCTACATGCTTACTGAAAAGAGAAAACACAGACCACTAAGAAGATTTCATAGCTTTCAGAGATGATCCAGTTTTCTACTGTACACTAAAAGTGCCTTATTGGCATGGATGGTTCCGTGAAGAATCTTTAACATCCATGAAAACTTTCAATTCCACAAAAGGTTCTAGAACAAGGAAAAGGGTTCTTTAGATTTTTATAATGTTCTTTACACTAAGAACTGACCACTGAAAGGTTTTGGGGGGGGGGACTAAAAATAGTTCAGTGTAAGACCTTAAGCCCCAACTGAACACTGTGTGACATTTGTGATATATACAGTGTTGTGGAATTAATAGAGCACTAGAGAGTGCACAAATATAATCACCTTTAAACAACCTCCAGCTTGTCATCAGTTCCTGGAGTGCCTCCAAACGGTTAAAGACATCAATGACAAGGACAACAGAAGCTATGAAGTGCCTGGCAGCAGCAGCACATCTATGCTTATTTATGTCCTGGCACCTGTGACTGAGCCAAACAATTCCTTTCAGCCACATAATAATATTTTGTTTTGTAATCGTTGATAGGAAGACAGGGGCTAGTTGTCACAAAGGCTATAACCACAGTAAGACTGAGTCAGAAGTTCAGTTGCATACATTTTTTGTTAACTGTATCTCCCAAACAAGTACAGTTTTATAATAGCTGTTGAGTAAAAAAAAAATTTTTTTTATAAAATAAACAATAAAACCACACTGAGATACATTCAGAGTCAAGTACATAATTACACAAAAGACTACTCAGGACAAGAAATAGATAAATAATCTAGACACCTAGTATCTGCCTCTATTCGAGGGAATACTTTTCTAGTCCCAAAATCAAAAATGTAATATATATTTAAAAATTTAATATCAATATTTAATATTTATCCAACAAAAAGTTTTGTATGTGGATGTTTTGAGTTAAGAACATATCTTTATAGTGAATATAAAGTCAGCTAGAGAAGCCAAGTGGTACCTGGGGGAAAAAAATTAACTGAAAATCATTAATATTAATTATGAAATAAATATTAATTATTAATATTAAATATGAAGTATTATTAATAATTCAACTTTAAAAAGTTTTTAATTGTATTCGTGATCAAATAAATGCAGACTTGGTGAGGATTATTTTTTTTTAAATTTTACCAACCACAAACATTTGAACTGTAGTTTGTACGTGACAGGGATTCTCATAAGCTACATAAATTGGCAACATTTTAAAAAAAATATATGAAACGTTAGATCAAATGACCTCAGATTCAACCTTTTGTACACAATGATCACATGGATCGAGATATTTTCACAGTGCTTAAGGGCAAACGTGTTTAGAAAGGCACTGTCATGGTGCTTGTTGCTATTTAATGCGTTACAAGAAAATAACTTAGAAGGGCCTTTTATCTAGGAGCCATTAACCCTGTTGTATCAGACATATTTCATTTACACAGCTTCCAAACAGCTGCTTGATGTCAAATCCTGTGAAAAGAGTTCCAGTAGTGTTCCAGTTATAATCTTGAGAATATAATACAGGAGATTAAAACAGCCATACAAGATTATTTAATCTAAAGCACAGGCTTCTGTTTATTGACCATTGCACACACATGAACAGATGAGAATATTTACACAGATGTAAACAGTCAGTACCTGCAACACATTAGAGTAGAGCTGCACATAGTGTGACTAACACACAGCTACGGTCCAGTACAAACAGCACATATACCACCATTAAAGTCCATTCAGCTTGCTTCTGCTACTTTGGACTAGCTGGGATGCGCAGGTCTCTTTAGTCTTACACTCAAGCGCTCAATTCAGCGTGTTTTATGTATTTTTGGAGGAGAACATAGATTATACAAGTGTTTAAAAAGAAAAAAGGTTTAATCAAAGTCATCACACCCCTGAATAAATGGAATTCTTTTCTGTAACAATATCTTTAAAACGTACAGAAACTTCTAGTTCATCTGTACCACTCAATATCCATCTCATAGATTCACTACTCATAAGTTCTGGTCTTAAAGGAACAAGATTCATTCTCTAGTATTACAAATGCAAACATTTATGGAATTCTGCTGCAAACAGGTATTAGACACTCAATACTTGTTTCTCTTCTCATCATTTGTTTTCCACAAAAGAAGAATTTAGCAGGATGTCTGAATTTCTCAATCATAGGACGGGAAAAAAAAAAGGACAGTCTGTATTGGAGTTCATTTGCTCATCTCATCATGATGCTCTGACAAATTACAGTAGGTATTTCTCAGGTATGTCTCTTTTAAAGCAAATTAAACGAAAGTGCAAATCTGCTAATAATGCTTAACTCTTATCATGTCTATTCAAACACACACACACACACACTGTTCCTGTGCATTACAATACTGGGGCCTCCCATCACATCATCCTGCACAGCAGGACATATCTGTGTTGAAGGCCTCTGATGCCACTGTGATGACCAGCCGTCATCCTCTCTTTCCACAGCGCGTGCAATTTTCCAGCACACAGACTTTGCTGGCAGGGCGGGGTCTTATCAACACTTCCTGCTCCGCAGTTAATGATGCCACCCTGGCCAGACAACCTCCACACAACAGCGGTTCTTATACAGTCCACGACCAGACAGAAAGCAATAGACAAACTACAAACACATGGACTGGATTCTACAAAAGATCTGTTTGCTCCTCTACTAGCGTTCCTTCATTTTCTTGGGTCATGGCTCGTCATGTAATCTCACTTCATCTTAAAATTAAGAATAACTAAATCATTAGCTGCATCCCAATTTACATACTTCTAGTGCACACTTAAACTAAAGTATGTACACTTTACTGATGATGGGAAAGTACACTGTACGACAGTACGGATGAGACATGATAGAGAGAAGAGACTCGCCCCGTTCAACTCATCGTTTCGTTCTTGTGCCGGTGGCGGCGGGAGTCCAGAGGCAGCGGGGGCTCCGAATCATCCATGGGCAGGACCAATCGGGTGCCTCGGATCACCAGCTCGTGGTCGCCGAATGCCAGCTCTCGGTCCAGAGCCTCGTCAGAGTTCACGGCCACTCCTCCGACGGGCGTCCCGCTCGTGTGAGCACCCGTTGCATCTGTGCTCACAGTGATGTCACCGTACGCCAGCGTGATGTCACCGTCGTTCAGGATCAGGTCCGAGTCGCTGTCTTTCAGCTGCTCCTCATTCTGAGAGAAAACACACAGTGGTGATTTCATTGAATTTGAGCAGATTTTCTGAGTATGCGAGTAGCTATTTAGCAAAGAGACTAATAAACCTATTACTGTTTGTTAATTATGATCGTCTTGGAGCCAAATGAGGTTAAGGGAATAAAATCAGGTCAAATGTAATTAAAGTTAGTGATTTAAAAGTTAATCATTCAAAGTTGTTGGGGTCAGTAAGATTTTTTTTAAAGAAATTAATGCTTGTATTCCGCATTAAATTAAATAATAATAAAAAAAAACACATTAAATTGATCAAGTGACAAAGACATTTATAATGTTAGTATAAACGTTATTCTGTTCTAACTATTCATCACATCCTGAAAAAAAAATTATCACGGTAATGACAATGTCGAGAGCGCATAATGTTACGTGATCCATGTGCGCTAGGGCTGAACGATTTTGGAAAATAATCAAATTGCAATTTTTATTTCCGAATATTGCGATTGCGATTTAATATGCAATTATTTTTTTTAAAGCTCTTTATGTTCTGTATTATTCAATAAAGACAAGCTATAAATCATTGTCTCGTATGACCAACACAATA